AATGTTGCTGTTAATAGCAGGGTGTATGTATCTTTTTGAATTAATTCTTATTTTGTGGTTGCCTTTATTCCTTTGGTAACTGTGGAAGTTTAAAAAGCTAAAGCCCTGAACGTTCTTAGAAACAACGAACAATACAAATATGTAAATTTTTAAATATGTATATTACATATGTATTTACATGCAATATATTGTATATTTGCAGTCAAATTGTAACAGCTCTACTTAATAAAACTGAAAAATTAAAAAATTAAAAAAAAAGAAAGAAAGAAAAGCAGGTAAATGGGAAGTCTAGCTCTACAGCAGCAATATTCCATCCACGGAGCCCTTTGCAGTTTGCAAGCCCTTTTTCAGTCACCCCATGTTTGTGTTTTCCCCAAGTCTCTGTAATGTACTAAGCCCAAGAGAAAGCTTCATGGTGAAGGAAATGGATGCGAAATCAATCTTTGAGGGGAGTACAGAGCCTACTGGACACTTCTCATTTTCTAAATCTATAATTAAATTACTGGCATTCAATGAGGATAATTTTTGCTGTAAACATAATTGTGCCATTACCAACAAAACTCCCCACCCCCAAAACTCTCTCAATGCTGGATCTCAAATTTTCCTCCAGCCTCAGAAGTCAAAAATAAATGTCTTGCCTTGGGCTCATCCACCATCATATCCTTTAAATGGCTTTGGTTGGCCTGATTCTAATCCTAATTAAACCAGTGCCGTTTTGCCTCTTTGAACCCACTCTCAGCTGACTCAGTTCAGCACCAGTTTGGTCTGAAAGAATGCCAACCAGTCTGGGAAACAAAGGGGAACTTTGGGGGAGGCTTTTAGGCTTCTCAAAAGGATCCTTCCCGTCCCCCAAATGATCAGCTTAGTGGTTAGCTGTCCTGGGAAGTAACAAAATATTGTTTTGAAAAATAACCAAATGAGAAATTTAATTTGCTCTTAATCCCACTGGTTCAAAAATAGCTCATAAAGGAGAAAGTTTCTCCCTCTATGTGATTCCCTTCTTCAGAGTAAATTAGAATTAACAAATTGCACATTCCACCTAATTTGTTGCTGGGTTTATGCAGACAAATCTAAGTGCACACATATCCAACATGGCAGTCCGCCGACCTAGATCTTGCTTATTTCCCTTCAAACTCATGGATATTTCCAAGTCCATACCTAGAGATCTGACACATTTTTCGCGGTTGAACATCATTTCACTGCATGAATATATTAAAATAGATTCAACCATTTTCTTATGGATAGGCATTTAGATTATTTACGGCATTTTTGTTATTGAGGACAATGCTGCTACACAGGTTCTTGTTTATGTATTTTTATGTATTTATTTTATTATTTCTTGTAGGATGGATTTGGAAAATTGGGATTGCCTTCACTTTGGGGGCTGGAATGCCAACAGTGTAGGAGAGGGCCCCCACCCCCCTTCCCAGCCTTGCCAACACTTGGGCCAATCTGCTAGACCCAAAAATGTTAATCTCCTAGAGATTTAATTTGCATTTCCCTGACTACTAGTGAAGCTGAGCATCTTTTCATATGTTTATGGACAATTTGCATTTCCTATTCAGTGAATTACCTACTCTTATCCTGGACCCATATTTCTAACGGGCTGTTTTTCTAGTCAATGTGTAGGAGCTCTTTGTGAACAGGGGATATACTCTTTGTCTCTTATAGATGAGGCAGGTATTTTTCTATCACACTGTTGTCTTTTGATTCTGTTTAGGATTTGTTATAATTCTAAGTTAAAATTTTTATTGTCGTCTAATATGTTAACATTTTCCTTCCATGTTTCTGGGCTACCAGTCTTAGAAAGAACTCCAATCTATATTTTCTTTACTTTTATCCTCTTAGTTTTTCCACTTAACTCTTCAATTTAGGTTTTTAAAAATTAGTTAATTAATTAAATTCTCAGTAACTGGGTAAGTTGGAGAGCTAGCTTTACTTTATTCTAAATGAAGAGTCAGGGATTTAAAAAGCATTTAATCAGCAAAGATACACTTTTTTTTTTTTTTCCGGCAGGGAGAGACCCAGTAACATTCCTAGGAGAAACCGTGGTCCCTGAAGCTGGACCCAGAAGATGTTTAACTCATGATCCGGGAAAAACACTGAGAGATTTTTGATCTCCCAGGCAGTCATGGGTTGGACCTTTCTGAATGTGTGTATGTGGTTTGTTTTTGTTTTAATGAAGAAGAGATTTGTAGACTAAAACATTCTCCTCCCTCAAAAATCTTATTTATAAACCAAATCCTATATGTTGGTCTATTTCAGGTGTGTCTCCCTCAGCCCATGATAAGCTCATTGAGGCTGAGCCTTCACTCATCTCTGTTCTGAATCAGGACAGTCGACGCAGGCTGAGCTTGTCTTCCAAGGCATCTAAAGATGTATTTCGTGTGTGTCCCTATAGTCTGAGGGTGTTTCAACAATTTTAAGAGCAATTCGCAGGTTTCTCTACAAGCAGACGAGGAACCAGCAGGAGCAAGCTTTCTCCATGGACAAAGTCTTTTATCTCTCCATTTGCAAATGAAAGGACCAATAAATACTTGTTGAATTTTATCATTCTGTTAAACTTCAAATTCAGACCTGTCAGTAATTACTAGTTTGCATTAAAAGGAGGAGATTAGAGATTGAGGTCCAGGAAGAATATATGATTTGCTTGGAGGCATACAGAGTAACCAGGTCTGTTCTTTTCCTGCCCCACTTTGTCCCCTGACGGAGGACGAATGACGTGGTGAAGGCCACGGGTCTGGTGAGAGAGGACAAGGTAGGACTTTTAAGTGTAACAGGGGAGAGGGGGACATCCCGGCCCATTGTAACCATCCTCCAGTCGTTCTGATAAAAAAGGTGGGGCAGGCAATTCTGAGTGCCCTCCTGGGGCTGCTGCTTTAGAACCTTAAGGTCCTAGAGTGGCATTCATTTCTTTCCTTCTGTTGCTGATAAACAGAAACTCCCTTCGAAGAGCTGGCTGCTTCTGAAGGACCCATTCAAGCCATCTCTGCCTTGAGTCCTCACTGTATACGCTTACCTGCTTTGCTCCGAGGATGCTCCCCTGAGCAGAATAGACACAGGTCTGGTGAGGAAGACAGCATATTTCCTCACAGTTGTCTGGGGAAAGCGGGCATTAAACAAATTCTCCTGGGCGTATATAATTACAGATGAAGGTTAAGTGTTCTTAAGGAAAATCCAGGATGTTTGGGAGAGAATACAGCAGGAGGGCTTGGTTTAAATTAGGGGGTTAGGGAAAAGCAGAAAGTGGGGGTGTTAAGGGCTTTTGCAAAGGTTTAGAGCTTTACATATGGGAAGGAAATAATAATAATAAAGGTGTTTGGAAGGGCAGATCATCCTCTTTCATGGGCCACTTCCTAGGACTCTGGGGTCCTGCTTCTCCCCCAAATTATGTAGGCATCAAGGGCTAGGAAGAACCTTCACAAATGCTAATATGTGAGCATTTTACAGTCTGCCCCCTGACCCTCTGCATCCTCACCCGCAACTAGTTTGAATGTGGAGGTGAATGGAGAGGCTGAATGGCATTTCCAGTTTGGGAAACAGGGTGGAGACGCCTTCCCACCTCAATCCGGGGGCCAGGTCTCCCAACCCCAAACACCCAAAAGGAACATTTTCCAAGAGAAAATCCCACTTCCTTGTGTATTTGGTTGTGAAGGGAGCAGGCCAGGAGACTCGGGTTGTTCCTGGGGAGTTTTGGGACAAGAGCAAGAATCTCTAACCGTGTCACCCCCCAAACACACTTGCAGGAAAGCTTGACCAGAGTGAAGTGAGGATTTGGTAGCCGCGGTGGAGGTGTGGGTGTTGGATGCTAACTTCCCCGGAAGAATCCATCAGAATCTGGCAGTAACAATAGCTGACACCCAACACAGGTCCTGTGCTGGGCACTTTCAAGACTATTTCTCAAAACAACCCTATGAGGTAAGCACCATTACTAACTCCATTTCACAATTGAGGAAACCGAGGAACACAGAGGTTAAGTAGTGATAGCAGCCTGACTCTGCCTCCAGCACTTTGAAGCCAAAGTTTCGGAGCGGAGGTTTGGGCTCCAGGAGGTGTGGGCCGCAATTCCTACGTGAACCTGATCCCGCGGGGAAAACGCTGGCTTCCAAAGGTTATCTTGGGAGCCCACGGGGACAGTTTCGGGAGCCTCGCACGCATTCCCTTCGGAAGCCGAGCCGAGCTGCCACCTCCCGCGCCGTGGCGGGGAAGGGGGGGACAGTGCGCCGGGGGCGGCGGGTGGCCCCACATCGTGCTCCCAAGGCCGGGCCCTGCAGCTCAGCTTTCTGCTCGGTCTCCGCGAGGTGTCGCCTTCGGCCGGAGAAACTGCCGCGGCGCCACCCTCGTAGCCCGCACTTATTTATTTATTTTCAAACAAGGGGGGCGCCCCTCTCCTTTCAATTTAAAACTGGAAACATCCTGCGGTCTCGTTCCTAAATAGGCGCGTCCTCTCCCTCCCACTTTGCACCCTCGATCCAGCCTCCCTTCCGAGATCACACACAAGCAGCCTCCCCAACCCCTCCCGCACGGCCTCGCTGGACTTTCCTCTCCCGCTCAGCCGCGCACACACAAGCAGTCCAGGCGGGGACTGGGTTAGGAGCCTCTGAATCGCCCCCTAACCCCAACGACACCCCCGAAGCCCTCCCGAAAAAAAATTTATTTAAATGCCAAGCAATTGCCAGGCCCGCAGGGTGTGTGCTGCATTGCACCGCTCGGCACGCAGCTGGTTCGCAGAGTGCACCGGGTGCAAGCCCGGGGGTCTAAAAGGGCGGGAGGAGCACGCCCCGGGCTTCCCAGCTTTGCAGCCTCCTCTCTGCAAAGAAGAAAAGCAAGTGGCTTTTGGCGCGAAAGCCTTGGCGCCTCCCCTGATTTTTATGGAAATCAAGAGGGCGGGGTAAAGCCGCTTTCCTCTGCCTTTCTCCCTCCCCCTTGTCTGTGCCGCAGCCCCCTTCTCTCCCCGCCCCCCCGGGTGTGTCAGATTTTTCAGTTAATAATATCCCCCGAGCTTCAAAGCGCAGCCAGTGACAGTCATCTGTCTGGACGCGCTGGGTGGATGCGGGGGGGCTCCTGGGAACTGGGTTGGAGCCGAGCTAGCGCTAGCCAGGCGCAAGCGCGCACAGACTGCAACAACCCGAGGACCACCCCCCGCCCCCTGGCCACCCGGGGACCCCGCACAGGATCGCCTCTGGATCCCCGGCAGTCGGCGGGAGGTAAGGAGCTGGGGTTGCAAACCGCTCGGCGCCCTGGGAGCTGCGAGCGCGGCGGGAAGGCAAGCCCTGGACCCGATCGCGGCTGGCGCACAGGGCGCCCGACTAATGCCCGGGGGACTGTTTCTCCTTCCGAAACAAAACCATCTCGGGGTTTTCCCTGAAAAGCCAGTTCCAGTTCCGAAGGCTCCCGAGCTGAGAGAGACCCGCCCTAATCCTTTTACTGCCCTTGCCAGGGGTTGTAATGGCTTCATCGAAAAGAAATTCACCCTTCTCTTAGAACATTTGTCTGCATTTGAGCTGACGGGGAGCCGGTGCGTCCCCACCCCGAAGCTGGGTTCTTCTCCAAAGGGTTCTCCCAGAGGAAGAAGAGGAGGGTTAAGCAGGGCGAGGCCGTCGCGGTGGTAATCTGGGTCACCGCTGTTCCAGCTCAGAGAGGACGCGGCTCTCCCGGCGACCCTCCCCGCGCTGGTGCCCCTGAACCATTCCCAGGGACTGGGGTTCAGGATCTTCCCTCTCCCTTTCAGAGGACGTTGTTGGGGGTTTGGAACAGCGGGGGTGGGGTTAGAGAGGTTCAAAATCAGCTATTGGCAGTACATTCCCTGCAGCGGGTAAATGCCGGGAGACGTCTGCTCAAAATCGGGGGTAGTGGGTTCTGGATTTGAGTGCTTGCTGTTGGTCTCGGTCTAGAGAAAGGATTTTTCCATTTGCAAAGTCCCCCCCCCATTATCGCTTGCACTCTGGAGGTTGCAATTTTACAAACAGGGGAATTGAGGGTACTCCAAATCCTATATCTATTAGCCGGGTTGGAGCCCCAGGCTTCCTTTGAGCAGCTGGCCGGACTTGGGTGCAACCGGGGTTGTCGGCGAGCTGGTGGGAGCTAGAATTCTGCAGCCTGGAACAGCCCCCTCCCCCAGGCAGTGCCTTGTGTGAATGAAATGGCAGTTTCCAAAGTTGCAGAGCCACGCCACCACCCCCCGCATCTGCATGCCCCCTCCCACCCCCTGTCGTAGACAGCTTGTACACAAAAGGAGGGAGGGAGAGAGCGAGAAGACACAACTTCCTCCACCTTCGGGAGCACTGGGCGGAGTGGGGGGCTTTGGAGGAGAGATTGAGGAACCGGGTGAGAGGGGGGTGACCGCTGCTGTCTCCCCCCGCACCCCATCCGGCTCCGCTTGCCAACCCTCTCCTGGTGTGTCTGTCGGTTGCAGTGTCGGAGGTTGGCGCGGGCCCCCGCTCTCCGCGCCCCCCACGGGAAGGAAGCACTCCCCGAACTAAAAAGAGCGGAGCGAAAAGAAGCCCTCATTCGGCGGCCAGGAGGCGAGCCGATGCCGAGCTGCACCGCGTCCACCATGCCGGGGATGATCTGCAAGAACCCAGACCTCGAGTTTGACTCGCTGCAGCCCTGCTTCTACCCGGACGAAGATGACTTCTACTTCGGCGGCCCTGACTCGACCCCCCCGGGGGAGGACATCTGGAAGAAGTTTGAGCTGTTGCCCACGCCCCCGCTGTCTCCCAGCCGTGCCTTCCCGGAGCACAGCCCGGAGCCCCCGAACTGGGCCACCGAGATGCTGCTGCCCGAGGCCGACCTGTGGGGCAACCCGGCCGAGGAGGACGCATTCGGCCTGGGGGGCCTGGGCGGCCTCACCCCCAACCCGGTCATCCTCCAGG